GCTGGGTCGGGACCGCACGTTTTGTAACCTGCCGAAGCGGGATAATGGTGGGACATGGAAGCAGGCTGTGAATGATGTCGCTACGGAGGAGACGCAGGCGCATATGAGTGAGTCTACCCCCCTTTTCGCAGTTACCCAAACTGCTCAAGGTTATGGACGTGAGTTTTGGTTTTTGCTGACTGGAAGGCCAGACATGTTTGAACCAAAGATGAACCCGGGGTACGACAGACTCAAGGAAGACGCAGCAACTCTCATCGCCCAGTGGACGCGAAACGAATGGTACGAGTCCAGCGAGGAAGACAAGCTCGCCATCAAGGAGGCGGGCGAGAGCGCTACCGCTTGAGACTCTAGACTGTGATGTTTGCTTTTGTTTCTTTATTATTACGACTGCTGGAGCAAGGCCGCATTCTTGTAGATGCCCATCCTCTTTTTCTCATTTTTGTCTATAACCATACCCCCGACCATTATATAGTCCTTATACCCCACCTAAATTTTGGATTCTCATCTTCCCCCTTCTTTCAGTTGAAGAATTACTGCGTCTTGGAGCGGCCCGCCTCCTCGGCCTTCAAGTTGCGCATAACCTTGCTTCTCTGCTTCATCATATACGTGTACAGAATGTACGATCCTATTTCCCATTTGTCAGCACTTCTTCCTCACGATCACAGACATAAAATGGGGGGTGCGAAGACCAGAAACGGGGAAACATACCAGGAACATAAACAGCAAGAATAGCATACGAAACCCACGGCACCATCTCCCCAAACTGCCTAGCCGGCGTCGCAGCGTAGTAAATCAGCACGCACTCGCTCGTGATCCCAATAGGGTACAGCACGAAGAAGGTATTGTACCGCAGCCACGTCAAGAACTTGGGCTGGAACCCGCTGAGGGTGAGCGCGAAATACGAGTAGCGGATCACCTCGGTGACGCTCCAGGCGAGCAGCATGGACGAGTACCAGGGGCTGCGGGCGAGGTAGGGGAAGGGGTAGACGACGCCCCAGACGAGGACGAAGCGGGATAGGACTTGCATCACGGTCGTGAAGACGGGGGCGCGGACGACGCCTGTGTGGAACTCGTGATTAGCTTTCATTCCCTTGGGTTCATTACTTCTTCGACTCTGCCGCCTCGGGGTTGAGGGGAGGAGAATGGATAAAAGGGAGTGTAAGGGGGATCCAAACGAACCGAGCAATGCGTGCAAAACCTCCATGGCAGCCATAGTCTGCGTCCACCGCGTCCAGTCGCCGACGCCGAGATGAACGAAATGCGGCCCGCGGAGCGCAAAGAGCGCGACGGTGCGGCCGAGGACGGTGGCCCAGGCGACGGCGGAGACGAAGTTGTAGGCGATGAGGTAGCCGTTCTTGAGGGGGGAGGATTGCCGCCTCTGCGGCTTGGCAGCCGCTGTTGCCGTGTCTGCCATTGTTCTTTGCGATTGGGGTGGTGATTCGAGCTTCGTTTGGAGATTTCGGGGAGTGCGATGCGCGGAGAGCTTCGATCGTTGTGTCAGGTACCCGGTGGTGGTGATGATGACAAGATGGGTGTTTTTGCAGATGCAAAGCTTCTGGGAAAGATTGTTGAGGGAGGTTGAGCTGCAAGCCAAGGGTCCATCCCAATTGTCCCACATCCAATTGGGACCGAGGCATGTGGCATCCTCTGGCTGCCCATGGGTGGCATGGCATGGCGCATGGGTGCTGGGTGTGTCCCACTGTGCAAGGCACGTCGCGGCGCGCGTTGGTGCTCGTTTACAGGGGTCGAGCTCTGGATGCTTGATCCGACCACTCGAACCTTAAGCTCGTAGCTGACTTTGGTACCCAAATACAACTTCATGTGGCACAGATATTGCAGTGATCATAAACCGAGTAAGCTTGAAAATGTATATCATTGTACGATACTGAATAGACAAATCCCATATTTGAACCCCGTTGCTATGCTGGCATAAATCAGATGCAAACGCCACCCGTCTCGTCTCGACGGTGAATCCCAATCACGCCCACAGCTGGTAAAACATGGCCGACATCAAGGCCACGGGCACCCAGAAAGCCATGGCACTCGACTGTCCCAGAAGCTGCCCGGGCGCCGTACCGTTGTGCAGCATCACCGCTGCGCCAATCGTGTTGGACGAATCGATGCTGCACACGATCTGGCACTTGCCCTCGCCGCGGCGGCGGTCCAGCTGACCTCTGGGACCGAGACCGGCTTGGTGGAAGCTGTTATCAAGGACGTCACGCTTCGAGGACGATTCCGTGGAGTTGAAAACCATCTCGATCCACTGGATCTGCATGACGGCCGAGTGCCCGACCTCCATTACGCCAGACCACGACCCGCCATCGCTCCACGAGTTGAGCATGACGCGGCTGGGGTCGCGGGGCACCTGAAAGGAGATGCTCGACACCTCGGACCCGTCGACGAGCCAGGTGCTGTCCTTTGCGTCCCAGTCCAGGCGGTGGACGGCCCAGTCGCGCCACGAAGTGCCCTTGGGCATGGTGCCGTTCTGCGTCGACTTGTCGATGGTGTTGCCGCTCGAGTCGAACGACGGCTGGTTGGTATACTGGATGCGGTCGTCCGGGTCCTTGGTGAGCACCTCAATGTCGGCCTCCTGCACGTTGGCGTACTTGTCGGCCTCGCGGTAGGTGAAGAGTGCGGTGCAGGCGCCCGGGTCGCCGAGGGTGCGGGCGAGCATGCGGACCGAGACGAAGTGGTAGCCCATGGAGACGGACTCCATCTCGGCCGAGGACTGGAAGTCTTCGAAGCGGACGGTGCGCATGCTCATAAAGGTGTCCGAGGTGGCGTCCTTGTCGTTGTTCTTCTCAATGTAAATGTTGTTGGGCGAGTTGACCATGTTCACCGTGGCGTCGTTGCCGTCTTTCCCCTTACGATCTGTGTTGTTCCAGTTCTGGATACCCCATATCGCGTTCCATGCGTCTGTGTTGAAGTAGTCAGATGTTGTGTTTGCGTTGGCGCTCGCATCCCAGTCCGTGAGGGCATCTGGGACCCCTGCGTATTGGCCGAGGTTGCGGAAGTCGAAGAACAGGTGGTTGCTGAAGTAGCTCTCTGATGTGTTGGTCAAGTAGCAATCGCATACTGAATCGGCGACGTAGGGGTGGTCATCAGCCACAACCAACGGCAACAGCGTGAGAGCAAGGCTCACGAGAGGTGCCCGTCTGAAAGACATGGTTCCGCTGCTGCTGCTTGTTGCTTGTCCGTGTGTGGCTTGGCGGTTGGGCTTGCGGCTCTGTCAGGAGTGCTGCAATCGAGAGTCTGGGGAAGCAGATGCAGAAGCAGGCGGGATATGGGATGAGTTTATTAAAGAGTGACCGACAAGGTCGTCCGAGTGGTTGTCTTGACCCCGTGGGCCGTAGTCAAAGGCGACGTCGCTTTGGAGGTTGTCCCCTGCCACGGTGCACCGGAATGTGAGACGGGATCGTGCGTGCGCAAGTGCTTCTTTTTCCCTTCCGGATGCCCATCCAGCCACTAGATGGCCAGGCCCTCGCCTCACCCGAGAGATGGCAGCCCCCGGATCGAGAATTCTAAAAGGTGGAGTGAGAGATAGGTAGTTAGGAAACGTGGATCAGAACCTAATTCAAATTGTCAAAGGAAAAGAGCAAAGCGACCGATCATTCACGGAAACGGCGACGGGTTCTCCTGACGATGCTAGCGGCGCCACTGCGCACCATCAGCCAAGACCGCCAAAGATTTGGGAAAAAACGTCCTGGGAAAGTTCGAGTCCATCATCTGCAGGGATTGCGACGGCGGCGCAGGTTTGAGGTAGCACAGAGACTCCGTACTCAGTCTGTAGGCACCTAGGTATCATCGGGGGCGGCCTCCCCCCATGGACAGGACAATAAAGCTGGAGAGACGATCCCTTCGTCAGGGACTGCGCGGGAAGGCTAGGTGACGGTGATGATCTGAGAAGCAACTTGACCCAAAACGGGTGATCTTGGGTTGGGTAATGACACCCCAACCTGTCCGGATGCGGCGGCCATCCATTCGCTCTTGGTTTCTGTTGTCGTTAGCGTCGTTGGTTAAGGCGATGGCTGTGACCGCTCTACCTAGACTTCTAGGCAAGCGGGTAGACGGCGATGGCACCGCGACGGCGGCGGCCTATCATGGTCATGCCTCGAGCTTGTGTGTGTGCTATTTGTGGCCATAAAGAAAACCCCAAACCAAACCAAAGGAGGCCTGCTGTGGACCGTGGTTAGGCGGGTTGCCCGCTCATTGCCCTGGGATGTTGCGTTGGCGCGCCGAGTGGTGGTCGGATGGTTTCGTGGAATACGATGTTTCTTCGTAGCTAACATAGGGCCGATGTTGTATCGGGAGGGAGGATGGAAACATGAAATGAAAGGAACTAGCGCTCTGCTTTTTACCCCGTGAGGTCAGTGCGAATACAACCTCGAGGATCTTGCTTCCCTGTAAGGCAGACTAGGTACCTACCTTGGACGTGCATTACATAACCGGGAACATGTGAAGGCGTCCCACGCACTACCTACCTTATAGCCCTATCAAATGTTGTTTCTCGTTACCCTGGTCACGTCAGCCCGCGGGCTGCGAGGTACAGGGCTGAACTGAACCCTCGAGCTCATTCTGAGTTCTCATCGCGGTAGATGCCGTGCCTAGAACTGAGGCATGTGGCCGCTAAACACTAGACTCGGTGACTCTAAATCCTCTCAGATCTCAAATCCTCATCACAAGACACGGTTAGTCTACTCAAGTTCCCTAGGCTAACGTGTTCAAAATGAGCCAGTGTATTCATAGCAAGTGACAATGTCGAGCAAAAGTGACACTGAAACATGATCTGCCCTTTGCCAGTTGTGGCCGCCTGTGTATTGCATACTAATTACATCCACATCGTGGGAAAGATATAGAGTCTCGATGGCTCGTCATTACAGCATGTGCGTCATGAAAATTCAAATCATCAAACAGAACCGGTCCTTCCCCAAGAGACCTCCCGTAGCATGCACATCAACAGGCAAGGGAAATGGTAGTAAGGAAAGCCCTCATCCCACACCTCAGATGACACCTTGAGTAAACTCATCCAAGATGGTCATCTCTTCAAAGTTCTCAATCAAGCGATCAACCCTCGCCGCCTCGCGGTCCGTCACGGCAAGATCGAGATCAGTCACAAACATGCCAGTCGCCCGGCCGCCCGCCCTGGGTCCCTTGCGAGCTCTGAGGTCTTCCAGCAGCCCTAGAGCTTCCGTCATGTCCATGCCCCCTTTCCTGACGACCATGGAAAGGAGACCCCCGGCAATCACTTCGGCAACGGTAAAGGAACTGTATAGGGCTTGATAGGCGCGGATGCAGCTGAGAAAGTAGGGTCGCCACTCTGGATTCGTTATGTCGCTAGCTACGGCGTTGGCTACATGGATGAGAGCAGTGTGCCCGAAGATGCTGTACGTCGATTCCGGGTACAACGCGTACACTTCGACGAGGTCTTTGAGCTGCTCGACGGAGGCCGCAAAAAAGGCAGGTATCTGGTCGGCTGACGGTGACCAGAATTTGAAGCCATGCTGTTTGTCGCTTGGGATGAACGGCCTGAAGAGGTAGAGCACAGTCCCGTGGAACCACATGCTGTGAAGGTTGTTAATTCGCACGCCGTGCACTGACGGGACAAAAGGAAAAGGTTAACTTACTGGCAGGTAAGCACATGAGATGGGCTGTGCTCGTCACGTTCCATACTTTCAGACAAATTATCTGCCCAAGACAGTAGTTTGCTGTACTTCTCCAGTGCAAAAGCCTGGGATGAATGGCCTGGACTAGTATCGTGCTGATAAACCCAAGTGATTTGAGAGGAAATGACCCATAATTCGCAAAAGGCGGCGAAAGTGTCTGATATGGCAGGAGATCGCCGTCTCTTGGTGCGATTTCGAGTCTGGGAGCGAGCATCCGAGTCTGACGAGGGCGCTGTACTATTCGCGCTGCTGTTACGCTCGTGCTCAGACCCGGGTGTTGAGTTCCCTAGCCTAGCTTTGCCTGGAATGGGAAGAGTCGGGGGGTACTCAGTAGTCGCTGGTAAACAGAACTGGGCTATCATACTGCGCTTTTCGTCAGCTATGCTCACTTGGACTGGGGGACTCTTTGAAATGGCCTTACCTCAGAGTGTTGAAAACTCCCCAGGCAACTTGAGCTGTTGCCCTCGCATGTGGTTCCGAGAGACGATTTAGGTCTACAAAGGTATATGCATCGGGACACCCAAAGAGCCTCAGACGTTTCGCCATAGCTATTGTATCTTTGACGAACTTGACATTGAGTTCACCATTGCCATTGCAGCCGCTGGACTGAATCAAGAAGGTCAAAGCTGCAATGGTAGGCAGGGTATCATCGTTTTGCGCATGCCAGAGCTTATTTGACTCGTCTTCCAGCTCTTGACTCCATCGAGACGCTTCAGGTTGCTTTGCCGCATACGCTTGCTGGTAAAGACAATCAATGACATTAATCAAGAGAAGGGGGTGGGGGGGGGGGGGGATAACTGACACAAGCGAAAGCAAGCAGAGCATTGACGAGCAGTGAAGAGCAGTACCGAACTTCACCGGAGACCAAGTCGTCCAGGAACAGATCAGCATCGAACAAGCCCAATATCGGATGATCTGTTTCAAGATATAGGGAGATGACTTCTGCTGCGTCCTGATTACTGATGGGTACTACGGTCCAGAAGGCGATGTTCAAATCTTTCAGACGAGGCTCGTTGCGAATGCGCGGTGTCGGCGGAGGAATAGGGCCCATTAGTGGAACAAAGAAGGCCGAGTTGAATGCTCGAGAAGGCCTAGGAGAGGCTGTAGAGGGATCATCTTCCAGGACTTCAGCCACAGTAGGGTATTCTGGTGCTCGACGGTCCTCGAGAATTGAACCCTCTTCGGATGCGTCCTCAACCCGAGCGAGTTTGGAAGGCCTAGAGTCGACATCCTCGGGCATCTCGAGACGACCTAATCTCCGAGTCTGGGGATACAAGATGGGATGGCGTCGCGTGAGTTCAAACTCGACATTGGACGAGATATGAGGTAGGATCTCCCGGGCATCTCTTGGCCCCGACGGTCTTATGGCGCGAAGAGCAGCGTAAGGGTCGACGGCGAACTTGAGCTTCTTCAATGTCTGGTGGGCAACATCATCCGGCATTGCCGTGAGCTGGCTCAACATTTCTCGAAGCATTTGATTTTCCCTCTTTAAAGCCATAGCGGCTGTCTCCGTCTCATTAGCACTGATATAGACACATTGTGTCTTCAGCTCTGTACACGCCTTGCACGAAGGGCGTTTACCGTCACACTTGAGTGAGGATGTCAGCGCTTGAAACGAGTCAAGAGGACCTGCCATAGTACCAAGATAAGAGATTTGTGCTTACTGCTTTTTTCTTGGACCGACAAGCGTTACAAGCAACCTTGGTACTCGGTAGACGCTTCTTGACTGATGATTGAGCTGGAAGGAAGCGTGCTGGAGGAAGAGGAGGAGGAGGAGCAGGCTGCGAGGCTTTTGGTGCCGGGAGTAGAGGCCGCAACGGCTGGGGCTTGACCTGGTCAGACATGACAGCCAACGGCCTCGCAGCTAGTGCGGCCGGACTGGTGCCACGAGGAGCTACCTAGGTAGACTTGGGACCGTGACTTTGCGAGGAGATGTCGTCGTAGATGTTGTATATGGGCTGTAGGTAGAGAGAGGTCATGGGAAGGCTGTTTCGTCCAGGGTCGTATAACGAGACTGACCGCTCGCGACGAAAGAAAAGTGAGGGGTATTGGGCATACAGACGAGAGGCAAAGACAGCATAATAACCGATCGAGAAGCTGGTGAGCGGCAGGCAGAGGAGAACAAACAATCGTCCCAATGAGGAGAGCAAGGCAGCACGTGAATACGATGGCTTGCAGAAGACGTCGACATTGGCTCTCGGTTCCAACAAGACTTCGATGCGGCGCCCAGTGAGGACTGTGGATGTCGTCTGGAATAGTGCGATGAGGGTGTGGAAGGCTGGCTGGCAACCAATGCGGTGAGATGGATGGTATGCAGGTATTCGAAAGGAGCCGAGACAGAGGTTGGCCAAGCTGCAGAGACCTTTCTCTCGCTCTTTTTTCTCTTTTTTTTTGGAAGAAGAGAAGAGGAAACAACCTAACGGGTGAGGTGGGATAGACAGATGGGGAGAGATGATGGGGGGGGGGGGGGCGCCAGAGAGGGAAGAGAAAAGGCGACGGCAAGAAAGAGAGAATAGAGTAAACAAGAGCCTACGAGAATGCAGAGTCATGTACCTATTCCGCAAACTGCCTCCTCCTATGTCTTCTTCTTCCTCCTCCTCCGGCAAGCTACCTTAGGGTAAGGTAATCAAACCGAATCGTGGTCCGGATCTGCCTCCGTTGTTCAATCTGCCGTCCAGTCAGATGGTCTGGAAGGGCCTATTTAACTGGGGATATCTCAACGTGCTGCTGGCCCTGCCGCCCTGCCGCCCTGCTGCACTGCTGTGGCGGCCACTTCCCGTCCAGTCTCTTCTCGATCCAATTGCGCCAGAACTTGCAGCACTTGCAGTCCCCAATCTTTGGACAGACTCCTCCTCAGTGCAGTGTCACGCAGTGCTTTGCAGTGTCCCGCAGTGCTACGCCGTGAGGGAATGGAAGGTGGTGGTCAATCCGGTACGTACCTTTCAGTTCTTTCCATGGCAGGAACTGAACGCTTCCATTCTGGGCCGGGGGCTTCCGCTTGAAGAAGCAAACAAAACCCCCACTCCACACAGTAATCCAACTTAGTCAGCATGCCTTGACCAGCGACACACACAGTGTGACCACGGATACCCCGGCGCAGGTCACCCGCCTGCCTGTCACTCGCCGTGCCGTCATTTTGCATCTTCCTTGTCTCTACCAAATTTCAGGTGGGACAACTGCACTGCACTGTTCTCTTCTGAGCACAGTCAAACTTGCGACTCTAACCGTACCTTTTCCAGCTTTCTCTTTCTTTGCTACTTCAACTCCACCCAAAGCGTGGTTCAACATCACCATTCTTCCCATTCAAGAAATGAAGCTCCTTCTGCGTCGATATTCTATTATTACCCGGTGACAAGCACTCTCTAATCGCCCACGAGTACACGCGACAAGACAACCTATCCGACTCACACCACTTCATTAAACCCTGCATTCCGACTTTGAAACCATGGCGTCAGAGTCTCCCCAAGCCGCCTCCCCGCGCAAGGCTGAGCCGGAACAAAGCACACCGGCCGATGATGCCTCCGACCTCAAGCAAGAGCCCACCGAGAACGAGAACGACTCGAAATCGACTTCACCCAAGGGCGATAACGACGACAACTCAAAACGAGACTCGAGCTCCCCAGAGTCCGGCGAGGCCAGCTCAATTGGCTCTCCCGCTCCTGCCGATGCTCGCGACGACAATCCTACCTCTTCCACCGATGCGCCACCCCTCCCCAACGAGGCGCCACCCCTACCCGCCGGAGCTCCTCCAGCGACACAAGACGACGGCTGGGACTTCCAGTGGGATCCGACAGCCCAGGCGTACTACTTCTATAACCGCATCACGGGCGCGTCGCAATGGGACAACCCTCGCGTACCTACAGCCGGCGGCGCAACACCAGCAGCAGCACCAGGAGCACCAGGCACAACCGCCTCCGCAGCCGCGACTCTCTCAGGCCCGCCTCCCCTCCCAAAGAACGACGCTCCCCCGGCCGGCGGCTACAACCCAGCCATACACGGCGACTACGACCCGAACGCGTGGTACGCAAAGGGTAGCGCAGCCGACGAGGACGAAACAGCCCAGACGTCCGCCTCTGCGATCAACGGCGGCGAGTACGGCGCGATGGCGCAATTCAACCGCTTCACCGGCCAGTTCCAGACGCTGGACGACGGCCCCGACCGCCACACGGACGAGGCCAAGAGCCGGCGACAGATGAATGCCTTTTTCGACGTCGATGCCGCGGCCAACTCTCACAACGGAAGGAGTCTCAAGGCGGAGAGGAGCGGCAAGAAGCCCAGCAAGTCTGAGCTCAAGCAGTTCAAGGAGAAGCGAAGGGCCAAGAAGGAGGAGAAGCGGAGGGCTTGGCTGCGGGATTGAGGTATGAGGCGTGGGGCATTCTTTTCTTTTTCTCTGGACTCTTTGGTCCTGATTTTCGCTGTTTTCAAAATGGGTTGCCGTCGCGATCGCGACGTCTGGGGGAGGGGGCAAATATTCTTCATTCCGCGGCGTTCTGAAAGAAGGGGCCATCATCGGCGGGAAACGGGCAGAGAGGGAGACTTGGACTTCTCTTGATTGCCAACACGTTCCTCCGGCCTGTCATGGGATGGGGCTGGGCCAAACATACACTTTTATACAAAAAGACTTAACAGAATAAGTCGGGCTTCAATGGCCTTGGATACTGGACCTTTTCACACACAGTATCATGTACAAAATACCGGGCCTCGACCTGCGAAAACGTCGATAGGCCTTTACTACAGCAAATCAAAACAAAAAAACAAATACCCAGATTACTCGAACTTTTTGTTCCATTCACCCGGAGAATTGTTCGTCTCCAGTAGGGGTATTATGTCCATCTAAATTGACAACAATATGAATCCTTTTTCTTGTCTTGTCCCCTGTCTCATTCATCCTCATCCTCCTCTTCCTCTTCATCATCGTCCAGGTCCATGTTGAGGTGCACGCTTTCATCGTCGCTATCGTCATCCGCTTCCTCGGCCGGCTTGGCGGCCACTGGTTCCGGCGCCGCAGCAGCCACAATCGTCTTTTCGACCTCCTTTCTCTCCACGCTCTGTCTCTTGGGCGGGCTCGGGGCGCCCGCGCCCTCGTCTTGGAGCTTGCGCTTCTGCGCCGAGGTGACGGCGAAAGGGTTGACGACCTCGGTCTTGGTGGACGTGACGATGTCGCTGTCCTCGTCACCCGCAACGACAATGGTGCTGGCGGTAACGGTGGCATCCTTCATCTCTGCATCCTGCGCGTCGCCCGCGACCTGGATCTCGGCGAGAATCTCCTCGTCCTCGGCGTCCTTGGCTTCCTCCTCGGCTTCAAGCTCCTCGAGCGTGGCGGTGATGCCCTCGAGCGCGTCTGCGGGTGGTTGCGCGGGGGAGGTGCGGATGTTGGAGCGGAGGATCTCGACGCCTTGGTCGCGGGGGTACTGCTGCGCGAGATAGGGCAGGATGCTGGGGAACATGGCGCCGCCCTGGTTGGTGTAGGGGTTCAGGACGCTGGCGAGCATGGCGGCCTTGTTGCGCGACAGGATGGCCGTCTGGTCGAGGAGGCCGCGGAGGCCCGGCTTGAGGTGTTGCTGGGGTAGGTGGGACAAGAGGCTGGCGAGGAGGGCATCAACGGCGGCGATGTGGTCCTTTGCGATGAGGGTTTGTTTTGAGGACGAGGTGGTCGCGTCTGCGGCGTTGGCTTGCGTGGGGAGGAAGAGATCTGCGTTGGCGGCGATGGTATTCTTCTTGGTGTCTGCTGCGGTCTTGTTGTTGGTTGCCGGCTTGATTTTTTGGATGTGGCCTGATTCTTGCTGGATATCTCTGCAGCAGGCAAGGGAGACGATGCCGAGGGTCTCGACGGTGAGCTTTTGCAGGCCCGGGCCGGCAATGGGGAGAGTCTCGTTGAGGAGCTTGTATGTCGCAGCGCGAACGGCGGGGATGTCGATGCCGGAGCGGAAGACGAGGATCATGTTGTCGTGTATCTCTGGGATGGTCGAAAGCGCGTTGTGTTCTAGCCTTTGCACTAGGACCAAGAGTAGTTCCAGAGCGGCGACGTGTATGTCGGGCATCGCGGCCCACAGCTCCTCCTTTTCTTCCCTTCCGACGGCAGCCTGTGTCTCGAGCGCCTGGTCCCAAGCTTGAGACTTGGAGTTACGGCTAATCAATGATACACGCGAGACCATATCCATGAGAGCTGCAATCGGAATCGTGACGGGAGTCTTGGTCGAGTAGCGGAGGGCGTCTGCCATGTATTGGAGCAAGCCAACGAGTCTGTCACGGCCAGCAGAAATTCCGGTCCAGTTGGGGAGCTGATCCCCCGTCTCCAAACCCTGCGGCGGAATATCAAAGTCCACCTTGGAGCGGGTGTACGCCGCCGAGGCTTCCCATGATTCCTGCACGGCGCGGAAGACCTGATCAGCGGTAAAGTGGAAGTCCTTGCGCAGCTCGTCTACCAGCTTGGCCCAATCGTCGCTGGGTCCCGTCTTGCCTGCCGTGGTGAGTGGTAGAGAGATGGCCAGATGTCTGCTTGCCCGGCGGAGAGACTGGGGGATCGTGGCTCCATCGGAAGAGGTGGGCGCCAAGTAGGGCTTGATGGCCGTTCTGATCTGGCCGTTGAAGGGGCGGCAGGTCGTCGGATACAGGGGAATCATGGCGGAGAAGGCGTCCAGAACAGTCTCAACGACAGCGAGCGGCGTCTTGAGGCGCTGGCCTAGGTCTGGGAGCTTGATCATCTGAAGACATGCGTTGAAGAAGGTCGGAATCGTAGGCGTGGCGATTTCTCTGGTGAGAGTTTGGTAGCTGTTGATGAGACTGTAAATGCGCACGAGGGTGACAATGGCAATCTCCTTGACCGGGAATGGGTCGCTCTTCT